TGCAACCAGCCGGTTCCAGCGGCAGTGACACCTGGAAGGGCGACTTTTAGGGCTGATACAGGGCAATCTCTTGAGCACTCCAGGCCGCTAGGGGTCTGGTCTGGTAGGTGGCGGCATCTGCCCCATGGCAGCCGGCTCCAGGTGAATGATGAATGGTGTGAATCAAATAGAAATAATTTCAAAGATCGATAGCGAGATAAAGAAGCCGAAACATGGCAGGGTCAATGGCACATGTAGTGCGATTGGGGCGAGAATCCGCGAATGAAATACTCCCTCGAACCAAATGCTTGCAGCACGGTAGGTTCCGCGGCTGTTAGTATATACACTGCCAGGCACACGCTTAAGGTACGATCTCAAGTATCCCATAACAAGTAGGCCTCAGCATCCTTCCACAAAGCAGCGACTCACGCGCCGCCAACGTTTTATCCAACACACCGCTCAATTAGAGAGGGTTTGGCTTTGTGGAACCAAGACCGGCCATGATTCGGTCCCGGACGGCGAATAAAGGCCTCTTTTTGTGTTTTACATCGCTCCTGAGCAACAGGGCTGGCCAATTGAGCCTTGCCTGCACTATCCCCAACCCACGACCAAAGTACTATCGAAAGTTGCCATGGCGGAGTCTTTTGGGACTTTGGTAATTGCTTGGCATATTCTGAGAGGAACAGAAACCTCCTTGGACAGGGACCGGGTCATCACCTTATGGAAGTGGACGGGACCGAGAAACAGGCGATGTGCGACAGGATTTCCGAATAGGGTCTCAGGGGAACTCTGCACTTTGTGAAGAAGGACCATTCTATACAACTATAGACTGTTTGCACGATTCTAAATACAAGCTAGTAATTCCGCTGTAATAATTGTAGGTCTTATGGTCCACAATTATCGTTGATCCGGCATGTACAGTTGCCGACGACTATCCCTGTCTCTGTCTGAGCTCAGAATGATAGTAGGATAGGTATCCCTCCTCAAAAAGACTAAATGGGCTCCCACCGAAAGGGCGGGATATAGTAGCAATGGCAACAGAGCGCTGATTTGAGGGCGGAGCTTGTTTGTAGGTGGCACCATCCTCAAGATCTCGCCCTTGGTTGTAACGTGTAAGATGGATGATATGCAGCTGGGAGCCGCCTCCTGGAACAATCCTACCCTACTAGGATCGGCACTGTTCCCTTTCCGACACGAACATCAGGGATTATAAGTTGATGCCTAAATGGCGACATCAACTCCAAATCACATCGGTGAATTCCCGATACGGCTGATTTTGCAGATGCATCTGTGCTCTCAATTTGACACCGACTAATCGACAATTCTAGCTATTATGTGCCAATGACTAATTATGTAGTTTGGCCTTGGTCTGTATTACTTTCCTATAATCCGAATTCCTTCTATAGTCGGAAGAGTCCCAATGCAGGCGAGTGGGTGGACAAGTCGCAAGTAAACCCGCCGTTTGGCCTTCCAACCATCTCAACATCAAAGACGTCTTGTGGGAGCACCCAGAAGCCTGCAGCTGATGCTTTCCCCTGCGACTGCTCTTCACGCTTGAACAATCTCTGGAGGGACTCCCTCTCCCTATCTAGATATCGGTCCATGGACTTTGGGTCCCGTATCACCCGCGCCTGGCAGATGTCGTGGCCTTTTGTCATGCAAACCTCGTGCTCTTCTGTAGCGTCCACCGCAAGGATGAACGATACTTCTCTCCGTAGCGTCGAGGAGCTGTAGGAGTCGTCCGAAAATCCACAGAACCTCCTCTCCATCTTCATCCAGCGGTGCATTGGGAGCCGAGGATCTGCACCAGAGAACTTGATCATCTTTAGATCCGTCTGGACGGAGCGGGGATCGGCAGAGAAGAACTCGAACATGGAGCTCTCCGAGAAGATGGGCACACTGTGGTTGATCCCGGTCTCAACATCACCCGTCACGTAGGAACTCCGCGTCCTTTTGCGATTTGCATCCTCAAGGAGATAGACGAACCAGAGCTGGCGTAGATTAATGAGAGTTTCGAGAAACGAGCCGACCTCGACTCGCTGTAGATTATCCGGCTTCACTGAGCGCAGCAAACCCAGGTTTTCCTGGAAGTGGCTGTTGAGGGCCAGGTTGCGTAGCCCGATATTCCGCTCGTCATACGCCCTCAGATCATGGAGGAAGCCCACCAGGGTCGACCCGCACACCTTGAAGGCCTGCAGATAGAGGATATCGCACTCCGGGTTCAGGTAGAGCAGTGGGCCTGGACGTTTCCCAGTCCCGGCGCGCAACGGGATGTGGAGTCGGCAGTGCCGAAGAGTGGCTTGCCTCGACTCTCGGTTCACCCTCAACAGGGGGCTGAAGTACGCTCGCTGGTGCAGAACTATGCGATACTTGATGCCGCTGACCGGCTTGCCGAGATGGTTCAGGTTCTGGTATAGGCTTGACTCGAGCGACTCCCTGGTGGCTTTGCACTTGAACCTGTAGTCGTCTTTGAGCGTGACGGTGATGAGCTGGCGGCGCTTCTGGGGATGCTCCATCTCCAGGATCCGGAGCCGCAGCTCGGCGGGGAGGCATGGGAACTTGTGGAATGTGTCTAGACGCTTTGGTGAGGACGGAGCCTTGGGGGAGGTGCTGGCCGCGGGAGCAAAGTAGGCCGCATTCAGAGTGTCGAACCGAGGTTTGTAGGCTTCCGATCCCATCATCACAGTATCCAGCTGGTTGACTGGTGATGGGGGGAAGAGAAGGGATAAGTGAGGCGAGCGTGTGGTCTTGATTCAACACTTACTCTGTACATGTTATGTTATGCCTTTCCAGTTTTCTCCACACGCATCCAGACTGAAATTCAAGTCCCGCCCAGCGGCCAACGTTGCATGTCCAGAGTACGAGTAGCTGCGGGAGGCATGGAGGAGGGACCGGAAATCGAAGCAGCCGAGCCCAGCGCCCGGCCAGGCAATCAATATAAACCGTTGATTGACGTAGATCGAATCCCGCCACGATCCATCCAGGATGAGACGCCGGGCGCCGCCAACTGGCGCCTCACGTAATCCGGCCGGTCTCTGGTGGACATGGCAGAGCAAGCATCCCATCCTTCTAGGCCCGAATTGGGGTGGGATTTCTCATGCGGCGTGGCTCTCGGACGCGTGCTGGACTGCCACCCAATTTACCTCAAACACAGGGCCCGGCCGTTTCAGTGTGTTCCAGAAGACTCTACTCAGCTGCCGGGGGGCAATCTGTGGCCACACGAACTGGGAGATGGCTTCGATTGCCCGCGATGGATGCCATGCCAAGCACTGAGGCACGGCTCGCGCGTTAGGGCTGGCTGATTGGCCGGTTTGCGGCACAGGAACGACATGCAGTTCATTTATTATCCATCCCCTTTGTGTTGTTGGTCGCGTCGCAGCATCCAGCCGAACTGGGATACTCGTTTTGCACATGGCCGGGCACCACTTACGGACAACTCGCCTCTCGCATAGCCAAAAAGGCATTTTAGCCATGGCAACATGTTCATGCTAGCGAGGGCGCCAATCATCGTAACCGGAGAGCCGTGTTGACTTTCAATTCTGGCGAGGCTGGACCCATCATACTAGTACGCAACTCGGGATATTATAACAAGACCAAAACGGTAAGATGCCGAGATCTTAAAGTCCTCTTACGGTTTGGGCTGGCTGGAAGGCCATTTTCCCGTGCGGAATCTTTCCCGCTGAGAAGTGCAAAGCTCACTGCCTAGCCTTAGTGTCGCTCAACTTTCCAAGACAGGAAGATGCCGATGCGCGCATTCGGGCAACTTTGATGTTCTTATTTATCAGCAAGTGGCCCCCTCTCTGATCATCTCTCCACTACTCCATACCTTGGTGTCCATTCTAGCTTCTGAAGAAGTGGGCATATAAGAAGGGCACTTAGGAGGGCGATGCGGCTGTAAAATTGTGTAGTCATTTCCGAGAAACAATCATCTCCTATTTCTATATCAGGCCTGAGTAGTCTAATGCACTGGCTGTATCAGTAGTAAGCTCTTGGTTTAATTTCAGCATAACTATGCTCAAGGGTCAGGATCGCTCAAGGTGAACTGATGATCTAGGATATATGATACAATGGTGCTTATTACAAATGATATCCTTCCCCGTGCTAGCAGTAGCAGGGCCAAGAAATTGGGAATCTCGGACGGTCATCGGCCTCGGGCTTGTTGGTCCCAACTACAAAAGGAAATGCCCGGCCAGGCGATTGAGTACCATCCCATGCCGTACATAAACGACCAACTCCCCAGTCGGTGGCGGCTTTACCACAAGGCATGCAAACTCACCGAACCCCAGGAGTTGCCTAGCTGGCGTACTCTTCAAGTGCTGAGATCAATTTATCATTCAGCATAATATCCCTAGCTAATGACAATTAAATTCCAATCGCCAGTCACCTTCATAGATATTTAAACACCCATGGACTGATGCAAGAGCATGGCAAAAGTAAACAAATTGAAGTAAGCCTTTTACAAAGCACTAAATCTAAAAATGAACAGGATATTCTAGGGCTATGTAAGATCAAAGTTCATCAAGTTTTGAAAAGAACCGACAGAGTGTGTATTTAAGTCTTTCCTTCAATATATGCTAGTTATGAAGGTCCCGCCAACAGTATGAGCTTCTTCTCTAAGAAGGGGCGGAACAACTTTAGAATAGCTGTGTATTAAGGCAGCCCGAAGAGCTCATATCATAACGACTGAAGTTTCAGCTGTATAAAATAGGTAGCATAACAATGCTACGGTGGAAGAAGTACAGTTCCATGGTTTCGGACAAAGGACACTCATCTTAGAGATGAGCAGAAGTAAAAGTTTTGACACCGGATGTGGTGGTGAGAAGAAGCAAAAGTAGAAACAACGTTAAATATTGAAAATTTAACAACGCAGCAAGAAATGACCCTGTGGGGAGGAGCTTCAGCAACAGCAACGCGGCGGCGGGCTCATGAAGGAGAGAATAGAAGGATAAAAGGCCTAGACAATTGAGATTAGAAAAGAAAGGGTTTGAAAAAGATGCTGGCATGGAGAGTTGCCGTCTTGAATGGGTTGTTGTGAAGCTTGCTATGGTTCATTACGGGGAGGCAGACGACGAAGGCGGGGTAACGATATTTCTGGAAGGAAAGGAAGGGAAAAAAAAGGCAACAGAGAGAGAGGAAAGGCAAAGGAAATTACCTACCTTGTCAAGTACTCGCCATACGCCCCCCACTCCTCCTTCACGCTGCCCCCACCGACGCCGAGGACGCATATAAGTCATTTCACGGGGCACTTGTTCTTGGAGATAATCAATGGTTCATCCCCCACTGCTATGGGGATGCAGAGCTCTTTAAGCACTTCCGTACTGGGTATGTTGAGGCTGGAAATGCTATTCTAAAGGAGAAGGAATGGGTCGGGAAGTTTGACTTGGAGATGTCGGAGGATATCACCCTCTACCACGGTTGCCCCATGGACGCGGCTGAAGCTGTCATGAACGCATGAAAGATAGTCAGACAATACGCCCCAACACTGGTTGATTCAATTGACCCTGAAATCCAACAAAGTCAGAATGATACCTTCGCCGGTGAACTGCACAAGCACCGGCAGCTCGAACAGCGGACGACAATTCCGCCTGAACCCCGGGCTTTATGGACGGCACGCCCCCCTCCCCGCCACAGGGACCATCTTCTCGACGCTGGTGGTGGGAGTATCACGACATTACACCGGAAGACCAAGACAAAAGGATTTATAATTTAAGTAAACGGCCTAGATGTTCTCACAACGTCGAGCAAATCCGCGCCTACGACGCAAACTTCTACCCAACTAGCTCCCAGACACCTACCCCTATCGAGGTCAATGCCTTCGGTGACGAATTTAGCAATGAGATAAGCAAGGAGGTTAGCAAGGGTATTAGCAGCGAGGTGAGTTGGCTTGGACTCACAAAGGACCGCCGCATCCCCCTTCAGCTCCAGTTTGCTATTACCATTCAAGAAAGTTGCGTTGGCGGTGGTACCCCAATAGCGTCTCAACCCTAAAGCCTAGATTTTGGTGTTGTCTCTTCATAGATAAAGGAATGTAATTACTTATGGTACTTGGTTGGGATTGTAATAATAAGCAACCCATGTTCTGGGTAAAATCGCTTAAATTGATACTTTCGGTTATTAGATTCTCGAAATTCCTGAATAGCAGAGATATATCTAAAGATCTAAAAGTTAGCTTATTATTTTAGATTCTGATCTCTACCTTTAATATAGAGGATGTCATCTGGTATTTGATGAATATGTTGTGATCCTCGAGCGAATCCTCCTCCTCAGCAGTTCGTCCCTCTCACCCACGTCCGCCTCACGGCTTGTAACCACGGCTTCCCTCCCCATCCCCCTCTCTTCCTCTTTCAACGCCCGGACGATTCCTCGACATACTCGGCGACAAGCCCTTCGCCCGTCTTTGTTCCGGGATTATTAGCGATTTCAAATGCTGTTGGGAGATGGTACCAATGGACAAATGCCCCCAGCCCGTACTGCAGAACTCAACTGGACACAAACCTGTAATGAACTTCCTGCCTGAATTAAAAGCAATATGTTTCATGACTTCCCCAAGGGCAGAATCCATCTGATTGTGGAAGTATTTTGAGCACAGGCGACTGTAGAGGGCACATCAACTGCTAATTATAGCTGTTGTCGTGGGCCATCGCACCTTCCGTGTGGTTGGCTAGCTAGCCAAGAGGCCTCCGTGGCTTCCGGCCACCCAACAGTTAACTTAGCCTTAGCATCACCCTCATCAATGAATTCTGTTCTGCCCAGATTCAATCAATTGTGATCTTAACTGTGCGTGTGACATCTTATGGCCATTTGGGTTTTGTAACCGGCAAACTACACAACCTCGCCAAGGCTGAACTGACTGGTCTTGGCCCTAATTCTGGAAAGCCGCTCAAAGTATTGGTTCTAGCAGGTCATAAAGCCCAACTGAACGCTTACAAGCGCCAGTAACATCTTCCGCCGATCGGATTTTCAGATGACAACGGCCGCCATATCGCTCTCAAAGGCCTGGAGGGCCTGAGCCATCGTCGTCATCGTCGTCGTCTTCTTGTTGTACTTTCTCTTGCTGTTGCTTTTGCTGTCGTTGTTGTTTTTGCTGTTGTTGTTTTTGCTGTTGTTGTTTTTGCTGTTGTTGTTTTTGCTGTTGTTGTTTTTGCTGTTGTTGTTTTTGCTGTTGTTGTTTTTGCTGTTGTTGTTTTTGCTGTTGTTGTTTTTGCTGTTGTTGTTTTTGCTGTTGTTGTTTTTGCTGTTGTTGTTTTTGCTGTTGTTGTTTTTGCTGTTGCTGCTTTTGCTTTTGCTGCTTTTGCTGTTGTTGTTGCTATTGCTGTCGTTGTTGTTGCTGTTTGCTGGTTTTGCTGGTACTGGTACTGGTGGTTCAGGTGTTCTTATAATTTTGTGATTATTGTTGTTATTATTGTTGTTGTTTGCTTATTGTGTATATTTTTATCTTCCGTTGCTGTTGTTATTGTTGTTGTGAGATCAGACAGACAAGACACGATCTGGAAAATAGATGCTTTTCATTAACGCCATGCTCTTTCCTATTCTTCATGCGCTATGAGAGGTCAAGCACGATGGGTCTTCTTGACGATCAGCTTCTGTAGACCTCACTGCAGCCTCGTGCACTATAGCTGTAACTGCTTCAATCCTAGGCTCTTAGTATCCTACTCATCTTCTAGCTTAGGAGGCTTTCAACATCATGGGAAATCGCTTCAACAAATCCAAGAAATTGATTCCCCTTGATATACCGCCCACGGGTTCCCTAGCAACATCTAGATTTACGTAATTCTTGGTGCTGAATGTTACTGTTATTCTCTCTCACTAAGAGTTCCAGGCCATTCGAAGAATGGTATTCAGATAAGTCCACCAGACGTATCGTGCTCGTGGCCGGAAGTCAGTCTAAAAAGCGAGCTCTTGGCCATCTAGGTCGGTGCATGTAGTTTTGGAGCGTCCAAATGGAAGGTACCGGCCAGTTTCAAAGGGAAGCGAGGAAAGTGCGCGTCTGTACCTGGGTTATGAAGATGCGTATTTGATTAAACTTGTATTGTAGAGCTCCCATCCAATTTAGTAGCTGCCCTTGCCAGTGTAGACAGAATTTTTTGAGGTCATTCCGGCGATATTGTGGACCTTTTGCCTCAATCCTGTCCCAATGGTATCTGATCTCAGGTACCTCCGTTTAAAGACGCCGAAAGAACATAGGTAGGTAGTGACATCCATGACAAAGCCTCCGGCAGTGAAGTCGGACATACTTTACTCCTTAGTTTGACTGCCAGCTATTGCAATTGTTACATCACCCTGGGAGGCTTTATGTTTCGGCGGGAACATGCGGAGTAAAAATCGGTCAAAATGAAGTGCATGCAGAATCATTGTAAAGTGGATGGCAGAGAAGGAATGAGTATTGTAATCAAATCTATGGGAAGAGAAAGTGATGTTGGCTAAATGCCTTCCGCTCGCTCTCGCACTCTTTCTCTAAAATAGCAGCAGTTCGCGCTCTGTTGCTTAAGTCAACAGACGTCTTTCATCTTCCCTGGTCACCGTGATTTACCCTATTCTCATCGACGGCACTGACGAACCGAACTCTGTGGCTTCAGAACCATTCCAAGGACATGAGGCTTTGCCGCATGATTTATGCCAACGACTTCACCTCAATGCTTCGATAGGCATATCTTGGAAGAATAAGGCCTTTTGCAACTGGGGCATCGGGAGAGGTGTGCCGTAGAGCCTTGAGACCCCAAGACGAAGGTGTTGTCAGTGAAGTGCGTTGAGTCGAACAGGTGCTTGGGTTTGGTGTTCTCTTAGAGTTTTATTCATTATGGTCGGCCTGAACCCTTCCCAATCGTCTGCAGTCCGGAACCAATAGTTGTGTTCCAAGCGTCGATTGAAAAATATGTGTTATTATCACTTGGTGACGAAATGATGGTTTCGAGGGTCAAACTAGGAGACGAGCTTCCATTGGATCCATGTTTTTTTTATTCCCAGAAAGAGAGAACTTCGACTAGATGTCTGATGCCGGGCGGAAAATGTCTTTAGATGACCTGATTGTCAATGTTGGTAAGAAAAAGAAAAAGAGATAGAAAAAAAAAAGGGCTGTAAGTGTACGTTTATTAGTTTGTGCAAGGCCAATGGATGGAAGCAAGCCAAATATATAGATACCTTTTGTTTGTATAGTTGGCACAAAAACCCTCCCGCCTCTAGCAGATCCTTGGGCATGCTTCTTGTGCTGATCATTTTGGCCAAAATCATATGCATGAGGCCTGATTTTGTTATTTACACAAAATGCAAAAAGGTGAAAATAGGAGGGATAGTAAGTAGTCAGGAGGAAGAAATGAAGGTAAGAAGTGATATCTTTGGAAGTTCTTTATAATCTAAGATAAAGAGATCGCACGGCTCATTTTAGTAAGCCGCGAAGAAAAACATAAGGGTATTTATGTTGTAGATCCAAAATCATCCAAATTTTTTAACATAAATAACCTAATTCTTATGGTACGACCTTGCCTTTGAAGAAGATGGTGAAGCTGAAACCTAGATGGCGTCCACGTTACATCTGTTAACCGGAAAAGGGGGGGTGAATAACTTTTCAAAGTCATGACTGGATGGTCTAAACTTTTTGAACAAAATGGATTATGCATTCAGAGGCGTAGTCTGCTACTGCTCGATAGGTAGTGATATCCAAGTGCTGCGAAATGTCTTCAAAGAAAATGATTTTCAGACAAAGATCGGAAAATTGTATGAGAGTTGCCGTAAGGTACATGTTTCTAAGGTGCGGCGGTCCCTCTATTTCGATGTCACGTCCAGCCCAAAGTTCTCAACCAACACCACTGTAATGGCGTTAGCTCTGCATAAGGTTCAGTTCAAATCCTATCTAGGCGTCTCGGATGTCTCGTCAGATTGGTCAGTGACAAGTTCTGTCTTAATAAGTACAGAATGCTCAATGCAAGCGTTGTTATGGAATCAGTGTTGGTGACCCCAGTATCACGGCGAGAAACATACAATTGACTGGGACTGTTCCATTAAATTCCTCTTTCAGTTTGCCTTGTGATTGATAATCACATGTAATCCCGACTTCGACGCCAATGCAGTGACTGGCCGGAGCCGTATACCAAGGTAGACAGTTTGTTCCTCTTAGACCTACCAGCGGTAGTGGATCGCCATTGCTGGCAGACCATTGAGTTGTCTCATCTCCGATAGGTCCAGGCCTGCCAGCGTAACGCGGGGTAGCCAGGTTATTTTGCAGAGCAACGGGCCACGTAGTGTGCCGTGGACATGGCCACGGTGCCGTAATAGGTCGACGTCCCAGTGATGTGAACCGGTTTCATCGGTCCAAAGTCTGGCCGAGAGTCTCGGTTGCATGAGCGGACACGGGTTTGGGGAAATGCCTTGCGACCTAGGAGCCTCTTTGGGAGCGATGGCCGTGGATACGGTAGGTTACATTAGTGACTCGCCCCATGTCGACAGCTGATTCCAGCTCCA